TTCTCTTGCTTTAATGTGGTAACCCAAAACACTGCCTAATTGTTGTCATGGTTATAGATTATGTGTGTGAAATTAACAATATATTTCTATTTTCACATAAATTATGTGTTATACGATGTTTTACTAGTTTCAAGTCATAGTTACATGACTTGTTGAGTGAATTCTTTTTTTCTCTTGACAGACAGAATCCAAGTTATGGAAGAAAAGTCATGACAGGATTCAAATAAAGCTGCCTTGCTAACTTTCCTAAAAATGTTTCTTGTGTTTAAACAGAACCTGAGAGTGGAAAGAATTTGCCAGAGGTCAATAATGGGATAAACTACCCCCTTAAACAGGCCCTAATCCACCTTCTGGGTCAGGGTTACTTGATATGCAGGATAACCTTAACAAATTTAGTGTGTCCACCCTGGCCTATCAATTAGTCAGATAGGACTTGGCAGAGTTCTGCAGTCCTGCAATGCCCATAGGATACCAGGTAAGTTGTAGTAATATTAGTATGTATATTGTTTTATGACAGCTGACAGTTTTGTTCAGGAATGAAAAAAATCTTTACCAATTTTATGCAGAGGGATCCCAAATCAACTTGCAGTTGTGAGATGCCCAGCAAGAATTCCAGCAGAGCAGTTGCCAGATGCTGCTGAAGCACCATGGATGTATGAACAGGAGCTGCAATCCTCCCGGACTGTGGGATCTGCCTTTGGCTCTGACCCATTTTCACCAGAGGGAGACCAATGCCGTGCTGAGCAGCTATTTGAAGAGATGTTTCCAGACATATCTCCTCTTTTTGGAGAAGTTAAAAATAATTACAGCATGTTTCAGGAGGCACTTTTCTACTTTATAAGTGTTACCGAACGACATGTGAGCTAAATCTAATAGCTGAATAAATAAGAAGCTTGATAAAAATGGCATATTTTAATATCAAAAATACAAGTGTAACAATTATAAATTATAATGAGGCAGACACCCTGCCTACTTTTAGGGCTAGGCTTAAAACTTTCCTTTTTGATAAAGCTTATAGTTAGGGTGGCTCAGGTTATCCTGAGCTATCTCTATAGTTATGCTGCTATAGGTTTAGACTTTTGGAAGACATAGGGACCCCCATTTCATCATTCTGCTTCATTCTCTCTTTATTCTCCTATTCTGCAGAATCTGTTAGTTCAATCTCTAACATTATGCTCTCTCTGCTTTTCCTCATAGTAGCTTCATCTGGTCTGTTCCTGTTTGGCTGTGACTCCATCCTGGAGAGAAATATCAGCTGTGCTGCTGCCATCAACACTTTTGTTTATAGATGCTGGAGATCAGCCTGTTTTCCAGTGTGGTCCTGTTTCTCTGACCGTGACTGGCTGGATGTGCTCTCTTCATCCTCTGGCATGGGAGCTGGCTCGGAGATCGTCTGCCTGGCTGTGTGTTTCCTGGACGGGGCCGCCTTTTACAGCTGCTTTTAGTGTCTCTGCTTCTGTCTCCTTGAACCCCAGTCGGCCTCGGCAGATGGCCGCTCACACTGAGCCTGGTTCTGCTGTAGGTTTCTTCTTGTTAAAAGGGAGTTTTTCCTCTCCACTGTCGCTACAAGCTTGCTTAGTGTGAGGGATTGTGTTTGAGTCAATGAGTCAATGCAATCAACTGGTTTTCCTTAGATAGAAAACTTTGTATCAATTTGACTGTATGATCTGGTTGAACTGTAAAGTGCCTTGATATGACATGTGTTGTGAATTTGGCGCTATATAAATAAACTGAATTGAATTGAATAAAACCGCATTTACTTGAAGTAACTGCTCTGAATTTCCTGAAGAACTTTAAAAGTTTAAAAATCATCAGGCTGAAAGCCTTTTTAACCTGTAATGTGTAAGAATTGAAAAAAGTGCTTATGCTCAAATATTTGATGCTGAATCATAAAACAACATTTTTTTTTAAGAATTTATAACACAAAACAAAAAATTTATATTGGACTGTATGAAAAAAACATTGGTTGTCACTCTAACAAACAAGCGTTTAAGGCAGCAACAACTTCTCCAGTACAGGCAATGCCTCAGAGAATCCACCCAGCTCAAGGATGCTGCTCTCTAAGTCCACAGCACTACACTATGGGCAGCGGCTGTTGTTCCACTCCACAATGCATGCCTCTCACCCGACCAGGCTTCTGCAGCAGATTGCAAACACGAGCTCATCTACTGGACCTGTCGATTGAAAGATGGATAAAGAAGCTGAATTTTGCTGACAAGTTGTAAGCAGAGCATTGACAGATGGTTAATATGCATGGGATTGCCAGCACACAGAATACTTCTGCAGATAATGTACCGCTAAGAAAATAACAGAAAGGACAAAGTATGTTTTAGCAAGAACTAAAAGTTTTCTTTCATCACATTACTATCGTTTATGTCGTGGTGCTTCCTGAACTTGTGGCTGTGCTGGTTAGGCATTTGATAACTGTCCGATCGGGACAATATGGCCACGTTGCTGTCATCTGTCAAATCGTTTCTTCTCTTACTGATGTTTAGATTCAGGTCAGGTAACTATTTGTGTTACTGTTCAGATCAACAAACATGCAACACATTTATATACATATATAAAGTCATAATGTAACTTATTAAATTACAAAATCAGTAATGTAACCTAGCACTGCAGCTGTGTAATTTTATTGAAATATTATTGATTTTAATATGTAAAGTTCTTTGTGCTACTTATGTATGAAACATGCTTTATAATTAAACATCCTTAAATCATACAACATTGAACCAAATCGAACAAGCACAACAGAAAAGGGTCAAAAAAATCTATTCATAAAGAAACTAAAAACATTAATCAGTCCCCCCGCTCTTATAACTGTCTGCGTCGTCTCCAAGCAAACTTTACATCAAGCAGATCATATCCGGGTCATTCAACTTACTTGAGATCGAAAAATTAAATAAAAACAGGATAGTGAGCGTTATTCTATTTTTCCATTTTCGATTTTATGCACAAACTGTGAAAACGGATAGCAGCTCAGCTCATTTTCTGTTTCTTCTTTTTGTTTAGAAAACAAATATTGAGAAAACAAGTGTAGTTTTGCTATTTTAATTTTTGGTTTTAATTTGAAAAGTGATTTACATCTAAAAGGGAGAGTGGAATCAGCTGTTGCTAAAGTCCACACAGATGAAACCATAAGTTATTTTGATGCCAAGATCCTTGTTCACAGGCAGCTCTGTCTTTGTCCAGGTTATTCTGATCATGTAACAAGAAGGCATGTTTATTAAAAAAAAACTTTTTCTCCTCTTAAAGTAAATACAACTCAGTTGATAAAACAAATTAATTTGTCATTGGGTTATTTAAACCTTATGAGTTAGTTGAACATAGGGTAATTTAATGCAGGGACAAATATAGGTCCCTTAGATTTTATTAATTTGAAAAAACCAAACATGTTCAAATTTGATGTATGTATTGTTTAAGAAATGTGTTGAACAGACTTAATAAAATAACACCATACAGATTAATGTGGATTTGGTTTATTATGGACGTAATCCAAAGATAATGAGTCATTTTTATGAATGTACATATGTTTGGTATTAATTCCATGCAATGTTTTAGAAATGAGACATCAGGTGGATCGTTCTGTATTAAATAATTTTAGAACATTTGACAACAACTAAACGTAACTTCCTTCTGACCTACTTTCGCTGCATTACTCGCACTTCAAGTACACTCCAAGATAGTATACATTCTTTTTTAATTTACAGAAAGGTAACTGATTTTTTTGCTTACTGTGCCAAGCCTTGCTAATCAAACGTTTGAGTCGTATGTTAGTAAGAAAAATAACAGGTTTAAAAATTCCTTTAGATGTTACAAAAACGAAATTGTGCTCTTTTGTTAACTCTTCCAATTTTCATTTGATCATCTTCCTAAAATATGTTTTGCAAATGATTTTAATGGTAAATTAAATGTCTAATTGTTAAAAGTGAGCTTTAAATACATAAAAAAAAGTTTATTAAACTCTTAACTGTTTGGAAACCTTGGCAAAATCTTGAGACTTGACTTCAAAATAGAACAAAATGCTATGAAGCATCTCTGGTGAAAATATATCTATTCAGTAACAAAGTGATTGAACTATTCATCAAAGTTCTCATGATTTTCTGACTCATTAGATATTCAGTCCATTACATATTTTTTATTTATTTATTTCCAAATGAGATTTCTCTTTAGACTGCTAATTTGCTGATACATAAATAGTTTTTTATATGTTTAAATTCCTCTCTAATTTAAAAAAGAAGTCCAGAGATTTCTGTTCTTAAAGAATATGGGCTTATACGCTTATATTTTTCTATCTGCTATTCTTTCAAAAGTAAACTCATAAAATGTAAAAAGAAACACAAAAATGATAATCATTAAAATAAATAATATAAATGTCATATATATTGCTAATATACTCTGTAAATTTGTTAGGCGACTTTGAAACATTAACCACTGGCTGGTTAAAAAGTCCGTCACTAGGTGGCGCCTGCGTTCCGCGGATCAGAGCCACTGTCTGACTCGCTGAGCGCTCTTGTGTGGTTGCCTGAGAAATAATAACGTTAGGACTGCTGGGTGTAATTATAGAGCACAGCTTTGAGAGCAGCTCATCAATGGTGACTGATTCACTGCATGCATATCACAACATTTGCATGCATTAACCCGGATCGCCTGGCATATCCTTGGGCTCACAAATGCCCTGCCACCATGTCAACAAGTACTGCACTCATTCTGATCCCTCTCTGCTCCGTAAGGAGGTCCGGAATCTGTCAACTGATCACCTCATTCCTGCAAATCTGAACTTCAGCTTCGTTATCTTTAATTCTTATACCTTTCTTGTACCTCTTAGTGTTCGCATGGTCCTTTTGCCTAAAACAGAGACATTAAAGGCAGCGATTGAGGGGCGGGCCAAACGTACTTTGACAGGCAAGCCCGGAAACCAATCAGAAAGAAGCTCCCAGTGCAAATTCAAGCCGCAAGGAAGCAGGGGGAGGCGCGCAGACGGAGTAAAAGGCAAATAGTTGAGTGAGCTGCATCAGTATAGAGTGAAGAGAAAGCATCAGCAGCATCGACGCAGAAAAGATAGTCCTGTTTCCAGACAGGGACCATGGCTGGAGAGAGAGCGATGTCCCTCTGTTTGCTCTGTGGATGACAGGCTGCTGAGTGAAGATCCACTCAGCTTCACTGGAGGCTTCAGGGAGCAAATGACAAAGGCAGACACCGGAGCCCCTAAGCCTTTACTAACATTTCAAAACTTTACTGAATACATACATGACTGTTTTTTTAAGAAGACTGGATTTTGGGGGGGACAACTTCCATATTTCCATTTATCCGGACTTATACGCACTGAGGGGAATTTCACCTGCTGGCTTAAACGGCAAAGAATGTGGACATTTTGTCCATCAGTAGGTAAAAGTGAGATTAATGCCATTTGCTGATGTTTTTGCTCCTATTTTACTCAAGTGCACTTTTCTCGGCCATGATTGTGCTTTTGATCGCTCTGTGCTTTACTGATGGAGCGCTCTCTCAGATCCGCTACTCCGTCCCGGAGGAGGCAGAGCATGGCACCCTGGTGGGGAACATCGCCGAAGACCTGGGGATTGACCTCACCAAAGTGGCCTCGAGGCGCTTCCAGGTTGTACCCAGCTCTCGGACGCCATACCTGGAGGTCAATCTGGAGAACGGCGTCCTTTTCGTTAACGAGAAAATTGACCGGGAGCAAATCTGCAAGCAGAGTTCCAGCTGCCAACTTAATATGGAGGTGTTTTTGGAAAACCCACTAGAGCTGTTCAGGGTGGAGATCGAGGTAGTGGACATAAACGACAATCCACCAAGCTTCTCGGAGACAGACATCACGGTAGAGATCTCGGAAAGCGCAACTCCGGGCACCCGGTTTCCTTTGGAGAGCGCTTTCGACCCGGACGTCGGGTCCAACGCGTTGCGCACTTATGATATCACAACCAACAACTACTTTTACCTGGATGTTCAGACTCAGACGGACGGAAATAAGTTTGCAGAGCTTGTCCTGGAGAAGCCGTTGGACAGGGAGCAGCAGGCGGCGCACCGGTACGTGCTAACTGCGGTGGACGGCGGACAGCCGCCCCGGACCGGCACTGCGCTGCTGGTGGTCAAAGTTTTGGACTCTAACGATAACGTGCCCGTGTTCGATCAGCCCGTCTACACGGTGAATCTCTCAGAGAACGTACCGGTAGGCACTCTGGTGATCCAGCTGAACGCAACGGACCTAGATGAGGGCCTGAACGGGGAGATTGTTTACTCTTTCAGCAACCATATTTCCAGCCGCGTAAAGGAGCTGTTCAGTATAGATGCGCGGACCGGGCGGATCGAGGTCCGCGGGGAGGTGGATTATGAGGAGAGCAACCTCTATCAGATCTTTGTGCAGGGAAAGGATTTGGGGCCAAACGCCGTGCCCGCGCACTGCAAAGTGTTGGTCAAGGTGGCCGACGTGAACGACAACGCGCCGGAAATCACCTTCAGCACCGTTACAGAGTCAGTCAGCGAAATAGCCGCTCCCGGTACAGTCATAGCTCTGCTGAGTGTGACGGACCGGGACGCAGGGGAAAATGGGCAAATTCAGGTAGAAATTCTCGGTGATGTCCCGTTTAAACTGAAATCCTCCTTCAGGAATTACTTCACCATAGTGACCGACGGGCTCCTGAACCGGGAGCAGGCGGACTCCTACTCCGTAACTGTGGTTGCCAAGGATATGGGGACTCCTTCTCTTGCTTCCAGTAAGTCCATTAGCGTCCAGGTTTCAGATGAAAATGACAATGCGCCCACTTTTACACTATCCCTTTACGATGTATATGTGACAGAGAATAACGTACCAGGGGCCTACATCCACGCTGTGACGGCCCTGGACCCCGACATAGGGCAGAATGCCCTCATCAGTTACTCCATACTAGAATGTGAAATTCAGGGCATGTCAGTTAAAACCTACGTGTCCATCAATGAAGAGACAGGGTACCTTTACGCACTCAGGTCTTTTGATTATGAGCAGCTGAAAGAATTCGCCTTTATTGTCGGAGCCAAGGACTCCGGAGCCCCCGAGCTTGGCTCCAACGCAACCGTCAGAGTCATAATTGTTGATCAGAATGACAATGCGCCCATAGTGCTTGCTCCCCTGGGAAAAAACGGAACAGCCAGGGAGCACCTTCCCCGTTCTGCTGAGCCAGGTTACCTGGTGACCCGTGTCATGGCAATGGATGCAGATGACGGTGAGAACGCACGCTTGTCCTACAGCATTCAGAGAGGGAACGAGAACGGGATGTTTAGGATGGACTGGAGGACTGGTGAGCTCAGGACAGCAAGGCGGGTGTCAGCTAAGCGTGACACACACCACCAGTATGACCTGGTGATTGAAGTGAGAGACCATGGTCAGCCTCCATTGTCCTCCAGCACCAGTGTACTGGTGTTACTGGTAGACAGCATGTCTGAAGGCCGGGGCATGGGAGACAAACTGGGCACCAGCAAGGCCAAGGATGGTGCCTTGGACCTCACTCTCATCCTCATCATTGCCCTCGGCTCTGTCTCCTTCATCTTCCTCCTTGTCATGATTGTGTTGGCTGTGCGCTGCCAAAAGGACAAAAAGCTCAACATTTACACCTGCCTAACCAGCGACTGCTGCCTAGGATGCAGCTCCTGCTGCTCAAGGCAGGCTCGATCACGCAAGAAAAAACTAAGCAAGGCTGATATCATGCTTGTGCAAAGTACTGTTAATGTCAGCGGGCCTGGAACGGCTCAAGTCCCTGTGGAGGAGTCTGGAAGCTTTGGCTCCCACCACCAAAACCAAAACTATTGCTACCAGGTCTGTCTGACTCCAGAGTCAGCCAAAACTGACCTCATGTTCCTAAAGCCCTGTAGTCCATCTAGGAGCACAGACACCGACCACAACCCTTGTGGGGCCATAGTGTCAGGGTACACAGACCAGCAGCCTGACATCATATCAAATGGCAGCATTTTATCAAATGAGGTAAGATTCATTCTCATACCTTTAGATAAATCCATTACTCTGCATAAGCGGTCCAGAAATAAGTAAACATTTTTAAATTAAGTGTATTTACTCTTTCATTGAGTAGGTTTACCAATATAATTAGTATTTTTACTTACTCAGATAATATGCACTTGATATAAGACAATGCAAATTTTTTTTTTCTTATTTTAAATATAAATTGTCTTGTTCCATTGGCAAAGTGTCTCACATCCTCAATTCAAGAACAAATTCTCTTATTTTGAGAACAAATTACTTACTTAGATTTAAATTGTTGTCAGTGTATGAGAGCCTCAATATGCTGTATTATCTGATTTGATTAGGGCTGCAACCAGCGATTATTTTGTAAATCCTTAAATCTTGATTCGTTTTTAGATTAATCGATTGATAATCTGAAATTCAAAGTTTTCTTACAGAAGAATTTTTACAAAATTAAATCATGTTAAACTAAAAGCTTTTCACTTGAGGAGCTCTGGATTGACATGAAAATTGTTTTAATCTTAACTGCAAAATATATAATATGTACTAATTATACATTTTTTTTTACAGTTTTTATATAATTACTGCATAAACTCAGTCAGTGAAATGCATGTTTTACAGTCTATTTTCCAGTTAACAATTCATTGATTACTAAATTAGTTGATGTTTATGTCAATAATCCATTATTCAGGAATAATCAGATTAATTGTTTCAGGCTTAAATTTGATTCCAGTGTCTCTTTCTATATTTACAGACTGTTTATAATGAGCCCAAGTAGCTTCTACTGACCGATATCAGGAACTTACTAGGGCCTGGAAAATCAGAGAAGGTGCCTGTGTTTACGGCACATCTTGCAGAAAAAAAAGCAGAATATCAGTGTATAAAGGCTTCATATGTTCAACATACACCTTTGCCTTAAACATAGAGGTCTCTATAACACACGCCTGTAATTTGCATCTTCACATCTGTGATCACTACAATGTTGGCGCTGAGCGATATGAAATAGCTCTAAATGCATTTTTATTGAAAACTTACAACTCTTGTAACAATTTTCTTTGTTCAAAAAGCGCTGCAAATCTTAACTTATAGGAAAGAAATCTTACCAGTGGTTTGTAGAAGAAGACAGGATGTTAATTTAACTGAAAAATAGACCTATGGATGATAGAATTGAAGAAATTAAATAGTTTGGCTTTTGTCTCTTAATTCTTTTTCTGAGCAGTACTGGCTCAGAGGCTGCTGGCAGCTGTGCTGAAAGCTAAATGCGTCTCTGTGTGTCCTGTCATCAGATTGAGGCCCACATTTCTGATGTCACCATCAGATTGAGAAACATCAGTACAAAAGAGAACAAATGTAGTTCAATTTAGAACTAAGGTGTGAAAGAAGTTTAGTTTTAGGTTAGGGTTCGGACAGCTAAGGTAATAGGTTAAGGTAAGGTCAAGTGTTTACTGATAAGGGTTGGGAAAAGGAGACTCACTAGTCTCTACTATGATCAGTGTTACGCTGTGTGTGTTGGATCATTTCTGATCCCTACACTGCAAAAAATATAAATCTTAGTAAGTTAATTTTTCTTAATATATATGCATTTCTTCTTGCATTGAGCAGGTAAGTGAGACACTTTGTCAATGGAATAAGACAATTTGTATTTAAAATAAGAAAAAAAAAAACAACTGAAGTATCTTATTTCTAGTGTGAAATATTGAATTATCTTATTTTTAGGGTAAAAATACTCATTCCATTGGCAGATCTTCCTGTTTACCTACTCAAATCAAGGGTAAATACACACATGTTAAGAGATTTTTACTTGTTTTTGCAGTGTATGACTGCTTCCAATGTTAAAGCCATAAATGAAATGTCCTCACCCCCTTCTTGTTTCAGACCAAACACCAGAGAGCTGAACTCAGCTACCTGGTGGAGAGGCCGAGGCGAGTCAACAGGTAAACAGAGAAAACCGCTCCACTCTGCAGCCAGGTGCTAGCCTGGCTTTTTCATCAGCTGCTTTGCCTCAGTAAACAAAGTACCATACACGTCTGTCTTTAGTTTTCATTTTGCGCTCTCTGTTTCAGCTCAGCCTTTCAGGAGGCAGATCTGGTCAGCTCTAAAGATAGTGGCCACGGGGACAGCGAGCAGGGAGACAGTGACCACGATGCTACAAATCGAGGCCATTCCTCAGGTACGACCTTTGTTTTCCACTTCTTTTTTCTTCAGCAAGGTTATTTGAATATTTCTGTGTTGCAGGTTAGAGGAGCAAATAAGCAACTCTCCGGTTGGAGTGAGATGGGAGTGAGGTTTATCTGATTTGCATGTGGTTGCTATTCGGTTTGGCTCCAAAACTGCCTGCTGCCTGTCCCTTCAGTGCTGAAACAGACAGAGCCTGATCAAATAAAAGCTTGTTTTAATTACACCCTGAAATTATACAAGAGCCAATATAACTTGACGGGATGCACCATATCATCCAGTTTAGGGAATCTGCTTCTGTCCATTTTTTCCTAAAAGAAAGACTTAAAAGAAATTCTCAATGAGCTTCTTTTAATGGCTCTATAATAGTTGTACTTGTATTTTTCTTAGTTTTTTGTTGCATAATGATATTTAAAATGTGTGTTCAAAGGGCCGTCTGACATTGTTGTTTGTAAATGTATGATGGTGGTAATGAGGAGCCTGCTCCTGGTGAGCACGCTCACTTAGTCTTGACGAGATGTGAGGGGCTTTTTAATGAGGCTGCGCTCACACTGAAGAACTGGGAAGCAAACCTAATAGGTTGTGCCTCAGAAGAACATAACAGGCGGTTCATTTGGTCATTAGATGAATCAATGAATTCCTTCATGCTTACTCTCAGACAAGACTCCTCTGCTACTGGACTTATTGCTGCTCTCTTCCCAAACTGTCTGTCTTTTAAAAGTCGTTTTCGTAAAGGAGCCAATCAGAGGTGATGTATTAAAGGCCCAGATGGTTTGTGTTCTTTCAGAGCTGAGCCCTATCTACTCCATGGTGGGGACCCCAGCAGTGGACAAATAAAAGCAGACTTTATTTAACTGTGAATGGACAGAGAGAACTTAAAGGCAGCCCCTTAAACATCAGACGTCATTTAGATGTAGGATTTTAGGCTAAATCTGGCTGGTTCGTCATAGGCTGAATTTAGTCCAGAAATCCATCCATTTTATCCCAGGGGGTCACGAGGGGTGCTGGTGTCTATCTGCAGCTGTCTGTGGGCGAGAGGTAGGATACATTCTTCAGTTTATCCCTATAATTTTGTAAGAGAAATACATTTTACACTACCTCAATTGGCGTGTATCTCAGTACAAAAAATCTATTTAATTACTTACTTTTCTGTGTTTTTAAATTGTTTTTTTGTACAAAACTAAAGGGATAAACACAAAACTGACATCATGTGCATGCATATTGACTATGGGTGTGCTGGTCTGACAGAACAACGGCTTTTTACCATTCAGTTTTCAACCAAATCTTTAGAAATGACCATTGTGATAAAAGCAAAATCATCCTCACAATAGTTACATCAGCACAAAAAAAAATCCAAATAGAATAAATCCAACAAAAATAAACAAGATTGTCAAACCTGTGAGGAAAAACGAAAGTGATCATTGTGACATAGAAAAATAAGTCAGTAAGATTTAGTTTAGGATCTTTGATCTCTGACAGTTTTTCAAACGGGCATCTAATGTGTGTGGATGAAGTTTGACGGAAATATAAGGCTGAATGTTTTTGGGACAAGTGATAAAAGAGAAAGGATACTTATGCATATATTTTTGCAGGAATTACATTATTAGCAGACCGTGGTCCGGATCCAGACCCATCTGCTGGCTATTCCGGACCCAACCTGATTTAAAACATTTCTAAATTACCGCACGTTGTCTGACGACAGTGTCTATAGCTGCACTTGCGCCGCTTCACTTGCTAATATGTTAAAGCCATCTGGAGCGCTGGTGTTCCGTCAGCTCATTTTACCCCGTCAGGCCAGCATACCCTTTGTAATAAGCATGCATTCTCATGATCGTTATTAGTGGTTATCAGGCCCATAGAATGGCTTCAGATTGTGCCAGTAGGCTCAATCTAGGTTTAAAAACCTAGGTTTGAAAGCCTTGCAGGCCAGTGGAAATCCCACCGCTCTCATTAGGCCATAAAAAAGAAAAAATGTATAACAAACAGTCAGTTTGTGCATTTTGCATTGCAATGTAATGTAACAGTTTTCATGTATATGATTTTGGTTTTTATACATTAGTTGCCTTTCATTTCAAAAGCAGACTGACAAGAACTTTGGAGAAGACATTCAGTGGGTGTGTACCCCCTAGGGTACACGATACTAAACTTTTCAACTCGATACCGATACTAAGTAAAATATTCGATACTCGATACCCTTTTCGATACCACAAGGATAAAAACAAAGAGTCTATAATTCAACAGAAATATTTTCATTACTAAAAAAATACAAGAAAAAATAAAAAAACAATAAGAATAATATTTTGAGGTTGTATGCTGTGCACAATATTAAGCAAGTTTGATAAAAAAAAACGTACAAAATTAAAATTAAGCGTTCCTTCCTTTCCTATGCTTTGCAGACATAACAATGACACTGGCCAAACCAGTTAAACAAAAATAATTCTCAGCACCTGCACCTGTTACAAAAAAAGTCAGAAACTGAAAAATGCACAGAATTATTCAATTAAAAAGTGTTCAGAAAGTGCATTTTCCACTATTCTGCACTTTAGATGGCTGTATTGATACTTTTGACAACCCTAGTACCCCCACTGTTGTCTAGAGGGAATGAAGGATTTGATCATTTATTTAAGTTTAATAATTCATTATTTTTAAACTAATTCCGTCTTCTGTTTTATATCAATCTGGTTTAGATACAATTAGTTTTTTTGCCATTTGCTATTTTGGAAACCGTGCTTTTTTATGAAGTCTGAGGTGAGTCATGCCTCGTCATCCTGTATTGAATTATAAGAACTGTGTGCAGTTAAATCCCTATAAATAAAAATTTTGCTGCATCTCTCCAGCTTAGCACCCCCAGCACCCCCACCCCTAAACATATAATGAACGCAGTGAATTTAATTTAATAGAGCAGAGGTGCTTATTCACTTTCTATCCTCCTCTCCGCTGCTTTCTTGTCCCTGCTGCTGTGATAAATTTCTCCTCAGGCCTGTGGTTCACATTATCACCGTGGTAACAGCTCACTGATCAGTAATTTATTTCTCAGACCTCTGCATACCAATTACCAAATGAAGGTTATTATCAGAACTTTGTGTTTGCCCTGTGCTGTGAGGAATGCCAAGCTGACACCCTGGAAGTCAGAGCAATCCTTATCCCCACGTCGCTCCTCCCCACTCACTCTCCTTATTGGGGCAGGCTTCTAGCAGCTCAGAGGAAGATGTGTAGCTGTGACTTTGCTTTTGTGAGAGGGGATGATTCACACTTATTCCAATTCTAAAGGCGGCTCAGATCTTGAGTTGTGCAACAGATTGTAGCATCTTAGCTGAAAGTTAATTATGTTTCTTAGTGAATTACTCTGATCAGGAGAACATCAGGAGTTCTTCCTCTCTTTTGGGGCGTCTAAATAAAGCGTCCTCTGCTGATCCCTTCTTAATATGGAAATGCCCCTTTATGCAGCTTCTTCAGGCAGCTTTTCCTCTTTTGATTTTACCTGCAATCTGAACCGGGTCCTGTTTGAAATGTGGTGGCAGCAGTGAAAGCAGCCAGAAAACGAGGAGGTTTTCCTCAGGAGTCCAGAGGAACAGTCATCTTGAGCTGGAGTCCTGTCAGGGTTTCTGGAGTTTATTTTTAATACAGAGAATGTTAATGCTGCGTCTCAACATTTGTTAATGCAATAAGTGATGTTTTGATTTGATAAACACCACTGCAGCTAATGCAAAATTCTTCAGCAATAATTTTGACACGACCAAACAGAAGAGCTCACATAACTCCTGTCTTCAAAGCTCTAGACTGGCTTCCGAATGAATACCGCTCCAACTTTAAAATTCTGGTGCTGACATTTAGAGCCCTGCATGGACAGGATCACTCTTATATCTGGGACTTGATTCAGGCTCACTTTTCTGCTCGCTGTCTGAGATCTGCTCAACAGAACAGGTTAATGGACCCTCAAACCTGTTTTAGGACAAGAGGCGAAAGGTCCTTCCAGACTGTGGAATGCACTACTACTTGTATTTTATTTGGTGCTGTTTTTTTATTTTATTTTAAGGCTCTTATTTTACAGCACTTTGTGACGCATGTCTAAGAAATGTGCTATTTAAATAAACCTTACTTAATATCCAGCCCCAACTGTTTCCGAGAGAAGCAGCTGGCACTGCTGCAATGTATTTATTTATGTTTAAATGCAAAATAGTTGTGTGTCTTTAGGGTATGTTCTTTAATATTTATTAAAAAGAAAAGATCTGGTTAGGAGGTGGGTAGATATTCCAACATGTCAGCAACAGCCAGGTAAATTAATCCTCTTTGTAACCGAGCAAATTCTCTCAATGCTGAGCCCTACACATTGCTATATGTATGAGGACCATTTGTGTACTCCCACTGACGTCCATTTATTATAAGCCTGAAACAACTAATCAGAATAATCGATTATTGAAATAATCGTCAACTAATTTAGTAATCGATTAGTCATGAATTAGAGTGAAAAGACTCTAAAACATGCCTCTAGCTTACAGAGCAACCCACTTAGAGAAGCAATTTTACCAAGTTTGTAAAAAATTTTATACAATTTACAATTAAAATTAAAAAAATATTTTCCATCCGTCAATATGCTCTATCCAGAAACAAAATTGTAAACATTTTTATACAATTTGCAATTAAAATAACAACAATATTTTCCATCAGTCAGTATGCTCTATTCAGAACTCCTCAAGTGGTAAAGTCTTAATTTCCCTATATTTTCTTTTGCAAATCGATAAATTGCTACAACAAAAAATGATAGCAGTGAAAAAAAAATGTATATATTTTAAAATATGCATTTTTAAATGTTAAAAATATTATAGATATTTTATATTTAAAATGTATTTTAAAATTGTATATTTTTGTATGACAAAAATTTTCATTTGTACTGCTATCATTTTAATGATCATAATAATATTTTGTAGAGGTCATCAAAGGTCAGTTAATATCTGTTCATGCTGAAACTGTGAATTTCATATAAATTATAGGTGGCTAACCTATGAATATGAATAATTTAATTTTAACCTGGAGGAAATTCAATTAAAACAGGTTGCTACAACGCCTTCCCAAACAATCTTGGTGACCTTTATCTTAGCTTCTGATCACTAAAGGATGCTATTAGACAAACTGTACTTTTGAAATCCAAAAAATCATTAAAATGGTAGCGGCACAAATGAAAATTTTTGCTGCACAAACCAGCACAAACGTTTGACAATTTTGTCTGGTTTGAAGAAGGTGGGGGGCTGGTTGACCTTTGATGACCTCTAGAAACATTTCTTTATATCTTTAAAAAGATAGCGGAACAAATGAAAATTTTTGCTGCAAAAACCAGCACAAACGTTTGACACTAACTTCGTCTGATTTGAAAAAGGTCGGGGGGCCACCTTGACTCAGGTAAAAATTGGTTCTCAGTCAGAAGGCCAAACACACACGCACACACACACACTCACAGGCTGCTAAAATGGCAGCAGTCTTACAGTCTGAGACTAATCACAGTCTGTATTCAGAGGGATTAGCTGCAGATAGCCTAGTTGGGCATTTCTGATTTTACCCCGTAGACATACAAACACAGCAAGAAGATTAAGGTTTTAAAAAGCATCCGCTGGCTGAATCAGGTCCTCACAGCAAAAAAAAAAAAAACGAAAGAAACAGGGGAAAAGGGGTTGAAAGCTTAGTTGGCCTAAATAGCTGCGTTGTCGTATAAGTTTCTGCTAAGTGATTTCTTTTCTACCTCAGTTTAAACAATTATTCACAATTATAAAGCCCGCCATGTACAGTTACCCTACATGAAAGGAGCAAATTTAAACAGGTTTCTAGTTCAATCCACGGCCTGCTTTTCACACAGCGCAAACATCAAAGGCCCGGCGGCAGGGAAGTTTTATTCACTCATGTTTCCAACGCTTTTTACACCATAAAATACATTAGGTTGACTTTACATAGAAAAATATCCAAACTTGCTGATTTTAAAAAAATATTACAGCCAAAGAAATGTTAGTATTTTCAAATTATCTACCTAAAATTTGCAAAATCCAGCTAAAAGACAGACATTGTGAGAAGATTTCAATTCTTAGTTATAGTGATGACATTTAATGGTTAAATTTGACATGTAATCTTTCATTTACACTTTTATCTCTAAAACAATCAACCATTTAGGAACATTGAATAGATCCTATTAATTTTATCAGCAACCTTTGATGCATGGAATGAAGTGAAGTATTTTCCAGTTTATGTCAAATACTTATTTTTGTTTAGCCGTAATTTTTGACTCACCGCCCAAGGGTACCGGAAGACAACATTATCTGCCGGCCAAACTATTTTCATTTGTTATATTGTCCATAAATAACATCAGGATTTCAGGGTTAGAGAGCTCTGCTCTCTAACCCTAAAATCCCACTTCCAGTCACCATTGATTTTTGGTATGATTTATATTTTTAGGGTTTGGGGGAGAAAATGGAAGAAAGCTACCATCCCTGCTTGAGAGCGCTACCTGTTTGATATTTTAACAGTTTCCCATCCTTGCAACAAAACTAGCAGCAGTAGTGGAGTTTGGAAATGCAATCCACTGCTTAAATCTATCTTTACGCTCCTCTAGTTTATCCAGAAGTTCTGCAGTCACACTTTTTCCCTCACTCCCAGCTTGGTGGTCTGCTGCATATTTAGCATTCCTTCCCTGGAAATGCCTTTCCAAATTTTTATTTTTATTTTTTTGACAGTCTCTCATTACAAAGAAAACAATGCAGGCAAACCTTCTCCATTAATAATGAAAGCGAACGATGCAGTCCATTGTTTGAATCCTCTTTTTGCTTCCCTTTTATCTCCTTGGGATCGATGGTCCGAGAAACACCTGCCACTTTGTTTGCCTGGCACCGCACCGCGCTGGTTGCAAGTTATGACCACTGATCTAAATGGCTATGACGCAAATGACTGTTTAAATGTATTTATAATACAAATGTTTACAGCATTGGAAAACATAATTCATTTTTCTTTGACCTTCCGCACACCATATTAAAATGAACCCAAAAAATTTTTTTTTAAAAACCCGGACCCCTGTCCTATGTGAATAAAATGACCCTCTGAGTCAAACACAGAAGCAAACTGTAGTTTACAATGCATGCATTATACATTGAAGTTTTAAATAAAAGAATATATATCATTTTTAAATAGAAAAAAAAAGAAAATGTTCATTTTAAAATCTAAAGTGTTTTTTGAAGTACAGAACAACAATCGTTCAGTTTGGTATATAGACAAGTTTCCTTATTTACATATTGTATAAAACATGTGAACTGTTTTTTTCTTTCTTTTTTTGGCTTAATGAGAGCAGTGGGCTTTAGGCTGCCCTGCAAGGCTTTAAACCTGGGTTTGAATGGTAAAAAAAAAGACATTCTGAATCACATATCAAGGTGCTCATTCGTGAGCCTGGATCCAGATTTATTTTTGATTCTGTTCATGGTGGAGAATCCTGCTTCACAGCAGCAGGTTGAGCCAAACATCCTCTAAATGTTCAGGGTCATCTTTGAGCACGCCATTTCACTTTTCTGTCACCAGTTCACCACAGTTCTTCCAGCAGTCGACACTTACTATGCTTTCTTTTTCCTCCTCGTGACCTCTGCTTTAGAACATCAATTGTGAAACCTGAAGTCAGATCAGAACCTCAGATCCAGTTAATCTTGGTAGGAATTGGGCCTGTATGCTCCTGTTAATCTGTTTTCTCTGTTTACAGTACACTTGGTTGAACTGTCTAAGTAATATGTTGTGGTTGGTTGTTGTGTGCATTTCTTTTGAATGATAACTTTTTAGCTTGAAGGTTTGTTAGTTGTATATCCAATCACTGTTGCCATTGCTCCCATGGAAATATCTTCATTTTCTTAAATGTCTTAAAATATTCTAGGGGAGAAACTTTATTTCAGAAGTTCCTGGTGCTCAACTCTGGTTTTATGTTGAAATATCAGCAGCGAATATTTTTAATCATTGTGTGGAAAGCTTTGATCAAGAAGCTCATGACATTTTGAATCAAGCAAGAACACAGTAAAGTATCATTCTTTAGACCTGGATGTCTTCTGCAACATGTTTACGTTTGGTAATGTAAAACCTGCTTCAGCTTCTTTTTCTGCTCAAACCTGCAGGTGCGGACCTGTTTTCTAACTGCACTGAGGAGTGTAAGGCCCTGGGGCACTCTGATCGCTGCTGGATGCCTAGCTTTGTGCCCTCTGACGGGCGTCAGGCTCTAGACTACCGCAGCAACCTTCATGTCCCCGGCATGGACTCAGTCCCTGATACAGAGGTACTTGAAACCCAGGAGCAAATGACAAATAGGTCATTGTCCACATTTGGTAAAGAGATACCTGTCATTCACCACCATCCCCTAAATCACCTTAAACAAAACCATCCCATCAACTCCCATCACAGCTAATAAGAGCGGGAAGAGTTAAAAGCATTTCTGCCTATCTCCAGAGCTTCCTATGACACAGCATATTTAAGCAAGTATTCTGCTTGTTCTGGCCTGAAAAGTATTTTTTTCTATCTGGCAGTTTAAGAAAAGACTTCAAACTGTGTTTTGTTGGTAAAAATAAATTTTTCGATCTGCCCTCTTTTTCCAAGCTCTTCTGTCAGTGTCCAACTAACACTTTCGTATTTCTCAGGCATCACCATTATCTTCCCTTGCATGCTGTTTTGCTTCATTTCTACACAATCGCCTAGCAGTTATAAAAGTTCTACATGCTCTCTTATTATGTCAGTTATAAATTGTGTGATGTAAAAACTTATCAATCATTTCCTAACAGTTTATCCTGTTTCATGTGACAAATCATCTTAAAATAAACAGATCTGTCTGAAGAAAAATTTAAATCTGCAATGATCTGTTGAAAAAGGGAAAATAATCCTTTCACAAATACTGTAATAAAACTGTTTTTGATGCAGTTTTAGCATTTAGTCCTCTTGGGTTCAGTTATAGAGAATCTGAGACACTGTCACTGTCGCTACAAGCATGCTTAGAGGGAGGGATTGCTGAAGAGTCAATGAGCCGATGCAATCAACTGATTTTCCTTAGACAGAAAACTTTAAAGTGCCTTGAAATGACATGTGCTGTGAATTGGCGCTATAGAAATAAACTGAATTGACTTAAATTATAAAAAAATATTAACTTTAAATACCAGAATAAAATCTATGTAATGTAACATTACAAAATCATAATATTACATGAATGCAATCATAACTTTACGAGAATAAAGTCATAAAATGATGATAATAAAGTAAACAATTATGAGAATGACACCTGAGTCCACTTTGTCTTACACATACTGCCAAACATAGTCATTTGCACAATCGTTTCAAAGTTCTGATACTGATAGTAATTTAATGTTGTTGTGCTAAAAGACCTAATATTTCATTATTTGTGAAACCGATGCCAAAGTATAACTTCACAAGATGCTCAATATTCCTCATTTTAGCGAAGAAAGTGCTTCTTGCAAGACTTTTCATTATTGTCATTATTGTTATATTTATTCTTGTATTTAGAAAAAAAATAAATCTCTAGCCTGGCCCTAATACTCCATTGTACTTTTCAGATTAGAATTGTAAAGAGGTGAAAAGGACTTATAAAATCTAAGTTCTAAATCTAAACCTTTGACATCTAGAGAGAGCCTGGAGAGACCTCTCTCATATTTGCAAAATAAGCAAGCCTAATATCGGTGAGAATGCTAGTAATTAAAAGCTTTCTCTGATTGTGGAATCTAGCTTCTGTAATTTAAAAGAAGTAATTTCAGGAAAACATCCTTTTTAAGTCAAGGAAGAAAAAGAGAAGCAGGCAATAAACTTAACAGCTCATTCAGGCAACATGATTGCAGCTAAGGATAAAAAAATATATATATATTTAAATAATTGAGGACAAAGTGAAGAGAAAGAGAAAAAGCTAAGAAATTAGCTTTTCTAAACTCAATTCAAAGGCATCAAAGAGATACAACCTCAATGACTGCAATTTGGTGATAATGCCTACTTGTAATTTTTTTAAGCAGCCTTTGAGGAAGGCTTCTTCTCTTTTCACCTAAACAACTTGATGGTGTGATGCACCAGTTAGAAGTCTGCTGCCTACTGAGTGCCGTAACCCAAAAGCAGAGCATGCTGTTAGGAGCAGCAGGACATAATTTCTCTGGCTTTGTTTTTCTCTTCTTCATGTTAATTAAAAACAGACTGCTATTTAAAGGCTATAAGTATTTTTGTTTTTCTGGCTTTTATGACATTTTTGTTGATGAGACTTATTGAAATTGTTTTGTTGGTGATATGATTAAAACGAAATGGTATGAAATAAGGAACAATTAGCTTTATGACCCAAAGGATAGACATAGATCCTTTCCCATCAAATTGCAATTATTTTGAAAAATTGTGATTTTGTTCTTTCCTTTGCACCAAACCCAAGTTTGTAGAAGTTTCAGTTATTGAAAGCTATTAAAAGCTTGATGGCCCAGAGTCCATTGCTGCAGGACTTTACTGTAATCTCCATGTGAAAAAGTGCTTATTTTTACTTGCATGCATGGATCTGCATGCTAGCTGCCAGAGGTGTCAAGTAACAAAGTACAAATACTTCTTTACTGTACTAAGTACACTTTTTAGGTATGTATAATTTACTCCATTACTTATTTTTCCTCTTACTTCTGACTTTTACTCATTACATTTTCTCACAAGTATCTGTACTTTCTATTCCTTACATTTTTAAAACAAACGTTACCAGGAAGCAGATTTCTCATCTCCATCAGAAACCACACATATGCTGGATGCTGATGGGGATTTCTTTATCTGTCATATTAAATTAAACGTTAATTTCTTTATGTTTTGCTCCTAAGAATTAAATGATAATATTGTGCATGCTCTCCTAAAGCTCAGAGATGAAGTCAGAGCGCAGCAATACGGGAGGAACAGCGGAGGTTGTAGGCTTTGCATTGCGCAGGAGGTCTTGAGCTCTGTGGGGCGGAGCGGAGGATGAGGGATTTCAGGGTAACAGGAAAAGAGGCGCGGTACGCTAATCCGTGACCTCTGCATTAAACCGAAGCCAAGAGTAATGATTGTTTTAAAAATGTAAGGAATAGAAAGTACAGATACTTGTGTAAAAATGTAATGAGTAGAAGTCAGAAGTAAGAAGAAAAATAAGGAGTTAAGTATAGATACCAAAAAAGTGTACTTAAGTACAGTAACAAAGTATTTGTCCTTCGTTACTTGACACCTCTGGTCTCCTCCCATGTGGCGATCTGTTTGTAAATAAACAGCACGCTGCTGTAATAGCTACCATAGAGCTGATTATTATGTACATATTCCAAATATGTACATTTAGGTTGATCTCATGAAACAACCACTTACCCTAATATATTAAGAAAAAGAACAAAAGGGCTTCAATATGAAATTAATGAAAAATACTCGCAGAATGAAAGAAACACATTGTTTTTTTGTTACAACATAACCTTAGAGTATTAATGCATACTTTACAGGCACTTACATTTTTCTTTACTTTTTTAACTTGGCTTATTACGTTTTCAACTTTACTTTTTACTTTTAAGTTAGCTTTTTAACTTGTTTTTCAAATTAATTTACAGTAGGTAACATAAATCAATGAATCATCTAATTCGTCAAATGTCTAAATAACATGAAAAGCCATGTAGTAGTATCTTTGCTGAACGGCGGGATTAGATGCTGTGCTTCTAGACCTCCCTGAGGGATGGGGGGGGCATTCATTGTCTAATTATCTACATTCCAACACCCCCCCAGCCCCCCCAGCCCAATAAAAACAACAACAAAAAACACACAGGCACACAGACGTATATGGGCCTAGTGGTTAGAGCAGTGTGCTTATGTTCTAAGAAGGTTGCAAGTACCCCGTTCAATCCCCACAGCCTGCACTCTGGGTCCCTAAGCAAAGACCCTTAGCCCCACACTTCTTCCTGGGTGCTGCACAGTGGCAACCCACTACTCCTGACGGGGATGGGTTAAATGCAGAGAGTTCATTTCTCCTTTGAGAGATCAATACATTTGAATTTGTATTTTATAGATACCTGAATATTCATGTCTCACCAGGATTTTGTTTGGTTTTTCTTCTTGTACAGCGAGGAAGAGGGTTTTCTAGCTCGTTCCGTGTGGACATACCAGAGACTGCGTGACTTTGCACAATCGCTCCCCCACAAAAGGCTTCAACAAGAATCCAGATCCTCTCCTTTGTTAAAGGGAAGTCCCATGGCTGCACACACAGGACTAAAAGGAGCCCCTAAACGAGCTGAATATCGTTGCTCTGTGCTGGAACTGTGTTCCCAGGTTTTTTAAGCTTCCCTAATATTTCGTGTCAGTTTAACATGGAGAATGATGAGTATGAGGTGGAGGAAAACTAAGCAATGTATAGCCTTACTGAGGACTCATTTTCTCAGCTGGACTGAGAAACTCCCACTCCCCTCTTTAAAAAATTGATACAAACCAGAGGTCCAGGTTTGGAGAGAAAAGTTACAGGCATTCACTGACATTGTAGTTCCTCATACTGTGTTCCTGTTTACAGCACTGGTGTGGAAAAAGCAAGCAGAGGACTACATAGAGACCATGTAAATGAGAGAACCCTTTAGGCGTGCTCGCTCACGCAGTGAACTGTACAGCAGAATCATTGTGCATTTAAGATGCAATATCACTGTTTTAAGATTTTTCTATTCTGTCTTGTGGTCAGGTGTCTCTGTTACAATTTGCTTTAACCTGGTTAGAAAAGAAGTGTGCAAGATAATGGATTCTCTGTGTTCTATTTTTTTAATTGAGTTATCCTTTTAAGTGGGTTTTTCTTTTTTTTGTTTACACATTTTTGAGTCTGAGCCATCAGGTAGTTTCTATCATGTCTGAAAAGTGTTTATTGTACTATTTTAAAAACTTTGAGGCTTAATATAAAACTCTATATAAATTGATCTATAGCTACTTGTTCTGACAGCGTGCGGTTTGTTGCCGTTTTTTTTTTTTTTTTTTTTTTTTTATCTCAGAAGTCTTACTTTGCTTAAAGTGGCCATAAAGAAAGCATCTTTTTATCCACTGGACACATAACACAGACTTAACAGCCTTAGCATTTAAAAAAAAAACTATCTTATTTTATATTATTTTTCCACTTTTGAATAATGATTAAAATAATTCCTAATATTTCAGAGTGAGATTTGTGTTCATTAGTGTCACGGTAACCAACACTTCTGGGATGAGTTCCTAAAACAATGAAATGATCCCATGTAGAGAGTTGTACACTAGCATTGGGGTTCAGTATACATATTTGTTTCTTACACATTACAAACACCAGTAACAGACAATAAATGGAAAATAAATAAAGCTATGTCTGGTCTCTTTTGTTTTTGCTTTTTTTGTTTGCACTCCTGCTTTCCTTGCAGAAATTATTAAACAGTAACAGCTATTTTTTAGTCAAAGACTGCTTCATAAAAAATGTTTCTTAGTTTACAAAAACGCCATGCATGATCTGTTGCTGTTAGCGTGTTAAGCAGTAGAGGATCGATGGATGTTCTTGTCTTTCTTTGGGCTCTGCTTTATATGTTCCTGTCTGCAGAAAAAGAGCAGCATATCATTTGCATTAAAGACAGCCAAGGATGTTCTTTTTTTGGGTGTTTCATTAAATTAAGTGGTTTTCTGCTAATGTGTTTAAATGAGGACGTCCTACATGCTCATCCCCATTTTCACTTACTGGTGGTGAGTCTAACAGTGGAAAAATTGCCAATCTTTTGGAAAGTTAGCTTGTATGAGCGATATAAACAGCAATTTTTAAACAGAGCATGCTCAAGGAAAAGTGGTCTTGTGCACTCTCCCATAGGTTTTAAGTTGTTCCCTCTTGGGAAGGAACGACTATTGACTGCAGCTGGTTGGATGTGCTTTCTTCATCCTCTGACATGGGAGCTCCCATGCTTGGCTGTGCGGTTCCCAGAAAGAGTAAAGTGCCTTGAGATGATGTGCTTTGAATTGGCGCTATATAAATAAACTTAATTGACTTTGGAGTAGTTACAGGGTTGTGCATGTGCATTTTTTTTTACATTTGCGAAAATCCTCCATCATCCTTTAAATACTTTAATAAACTTCCTTTGCTGGGGTGTTTATCATTATTTTATCAAAGCAAATTTATGAATGAAGTTAAAAAAAATACCTTTTATGATAAAAATGTAAATCTATAGAAACAAATATAACCAGATCGTCATATCTCCTTGGCAAGAATCTGCAACCTGTGGCCTTTTGAATTCTTTAATTTAAACTTAGGCCAAAAATGCCAAAGAATCAAGAAATAAAGTTGAAAATAAGAGACTATCAGTTGTCACCAAAAACAAGTTTCATTGAAAGCATTTAAATCAGAATTGTTCTTGTGTCATCATGCAATACAGATTCTCCCTCTTTGCTCAAACGAATAAAGGTTTGGCTGTGCAGAGGGAGGTAAGCCGCGAGCAAAAACAAAAAAAACTGTGAGGGATAATAGATCTAAAAGCTGGAGGGGTTATCTGGTGGAGGAGGGGGATGAATTGCAGTTACCAAAAGGCTGAAACTGTGATCCTTTTAAGTCAACCACTGATACTGAGGCATCCTTATAGGCCTGAATTAGGAATGCGGGGGTCTGCTGGGGTGTGTGTGTGTGTAGGGGGGTTGCTAATTCCCACCCTAGTTTTTGGGGGAAGGGTGGCATGGTACAAACTCTTAGGCCTCATTTTAACCCTTTAGAGGAAATATTTGGAAAATCAACGTTTGAAGCAAATAGTTTTATTGGATTCCTGGAAAAGACTGCTTTTTTTATTTATATTTTAATCTGAAAAACTCACACAAAGAAAAGACAATAAGGAGAAATGTATTAATACAATTACTTGTTTTTGGTGCTCAGACCTCGGCAGGAACATAGCACTTAATTTTGATAGATATGCATTAAAAGGAATAAAGAATAAGGCCCACCAGGCCTGAAACTGGTGGTAGAGTGGAGATGGATGAAGTTGGTCAGTCTGTAGACTGCTGGTTAGCGAGACGGTATGCTGAGCTTTACTGGGAAATCCAGTGAATTGCAAGAGCTGATACTAGAGCTTCTCTCAGGGACGTGGAAGATGGATATCTAGTTGGATAACACAGGTTGAAAGAACCCGTCTATGATGACCAAGTATGACGACAGAAAGAACCTCTGCCAGAACCAGGCCCAACATGGTCTTCTGCCAGACTGGTTAAGATGAGACAGGGAACGCAGTAAGAGTCTGGGAGGAATGGCACTCTGATGTAGCTTTTGCTATGAAGGTGGAGGAGGGGCTGGAGGTGGGTTGAAACAGTGTCATCTGAATAAGGTCACAGTGCATCCAATGCCTGCTCACAGGAGCAGACAGGTGCGTATTGGAGGCCTTTTAAGATGAGCTTTGGTTGCCAATTGGCTTTTGTGGAGGTGTGGTTCAAAGCTGATTGGCTGTGTCGCAGGTGGAACAATGAGTTTCTTCAGTCACCCAGGCTCCATTTCAATCTGAAAAACTCAAACAAACAATTATGAGAAATGTCTTGATACACTTACTTGTCTTTGGCGCTCGGACCTCGGCAGGAAACATAGCACTTAATTTTGATAGATATGAATGAACAGGAGAAAAGAATAGGGCTGTTTCCCCTAAAAAAAATTGCTGAGCTTGAGGCCGATACGACAGCATGCTCAGAAGGCTGAGACTGAAATGAAAGCTAAGAAAAGTAGAACAGAAGAGTAGTAACAGAGGAGATGAGCCGCAAAGCCTTACAGAAAGGCCAGTGCTGCAAAGGCTTACCAAAAGAGAACCAGGGCCAGTTGCTGCGAAGGCATCACAAAAGTTTGGAAGGGATGGTGAGATAAGGTGAAGTGAGGTGACTGACTGGTCATTGGATGATGAGGCGATGAATGATAGAAGGGAGCCTGGTATAAAACCATCTGACATGACAAATTAGAGGAGAGACGAGTGATGGTTATAAACACAACTGAAATAATCAAACATTCAAATCTGATTAAGGATATGAATTAGTTTTGAAACAACCACCAGTATTTGTAATTAGTTAACCCTTATAGGCTGAGAGAACGTTGAACAGTTTGGAAGGATGAATGTGTACTCAGGGCGGATATATGAGGCATAGGCATGCTGCACACAGAATGATGATCCAATCGAGAAACAGTATAGAAAAGAAAAGTCAAAAGCCCTTAAACTGTGAACCTGTAGAAGGAGGAAGGAAATTGAATAACCAGATCAAGCAGCCCGGAATGAAAGTGATGCTGGGGATGATGGCAATATAGATGACAAAGCAAAAATAGCTGACCAAGCAAGGAAACAAAGACACTTGAAAATAACGATGCAGTGATGACTGTGGTGGTAACAGTAATGAAGCCGTGGCTGAGCGCTCTAGCCCAGCACAATGACAGATGAGCTCTACGTAGTGATGAGGTACAGGTGCGAGCAGAGAACACACGCCCGTGCAGCAATAAGCTGGGGAAATTATATGCGAGCAAAGATGAGCTGGGAAAGTGAGATGGGGACGCAATGATCTAGCAAACCTGCAAGCCGCGATGACCGAAAACGAAACAAGCAAGGCGCGATGTTAAGCTAAATACGTAATCCATGATGTTAAAGGGTTTGAAGCGAATTGCCTTGTGATGGAAACGCATGGATGGGTTTAGGTGCGATGTGCCTGGAGCAATGAGCTGAGGGGCTGAAATGCACCTGCTGCGATGAAAAGAGTGCCATAAGCGCTGCAGCCATGGTTAAATGCCCGATGAAACATCAAGTGCTGCGGTAATGGATAAAAGTGGCATGTGTTTGCCGCAATGGGCGCAATGGGACGCCCGCCGCGATGCTAGAAGGCGACATATAATTTCCGCCGCGATGCTGCCAGCATAAACACCCGCAATGATAGGTGTCAAAATGTGACTGCCGCTATGCTAGATGGTGGCATAAATGCCCATTGCGATGCTTCGCCATAAACACCTACGATGATAGGCACCCGCCGTGAAGATGAAAGGCACCATCATAGCATGAGAGCCTGTAGCGGTTGAGAAAGGCTGCCAGAAACTTCCGCCACAACAGATAAAACAAACAGATAAAGACAAGGGTGCTGAGAGCGCCCGTGCAATGGGAAGACGGGAAAAGCTGCTGCGATGGATGGAGGGCACCATGAGCAACTGCAGTGATTGCAAAAGGGGAGCGTAGGTGCCCGCCACAAAGGATGGAGGGCACCCTGAGCACCTGCAGTGGTAGGAAAAGGCACCATGAGCACCTGAAGCAGTGGCAAAGGGCACCATAACCACCTGCCGCAGATAGAGGCCGTCATGACACCATAAGTGCTTGTTGCGATGGATGGAGGGTGCCTAGTCCGCCCGCCACAATTAAACGCCTCTAACATGGTGCAGATTTAGATAGAAACAATGCACTAAGGGGAATGTCTGACTGTTCTAGTTTCAGATCATTAACTGCATGTCTCAATGTCAGAAGCAGATTATGTAGGCAGTGGGCTACATAATCACCTACCAGACAACAGGTGCAGCAGAAGCATAGCTTCCTACTGGGTCACTAAAGGACTTATGACTTACAACACTTTATTTACACAATTCAAAAACAATTAAAACATTACGGTAGCCCTGAAGTGCAAACTGCAACTACAAATCTAAAAGCGCAACAACATTAAGGAAATCGCAACTACATAAAGCAAAGCGCAGTAGTTTTGCTTTGCTTTATATAGTTTTGTTTTTCTTATTGTAGTTGCGTTTTGCTTTATGTAGTTTTGTTTTCCTTAATGTAGTTTCGCTTTGCTTTATGTAGTTTTGTTTTTCTTAATGTAGTTGCGCTTTGCTTTATGTAGTTTTGTTTTTCTTAATGTAGTTGCGCTTTGTTTTATGTAGTTGCTATTTCCTTAATGTAGTTGTGCTTTTAGATTTGTAGTTGCAGTTTGCACTTCAGGGCCACCGTAAAACATAAACAATTGACGAAAAATAAGTGGCAGTTAAAATCACTATTAAGGTAAAAGCAAGTGTTGCTAAAAATCGTAAATGAGGAGCTTGATAACATGTAGTTCTCCATCATGTGACAGTACATAAAATTGTTAAATGAACGTAAAACACAGTGAACTTTCGAAATAGAATCAGCAACTACTCCACGAGGCTAGAAAATGACCATGATACAGTTTAAAAGTGATAAGAATCCCCACCAATAATTTCCGCTCTTTCCCCCTTTCCGCTGATTTACTTAAGCCAACAGTAACTGAGGTTTGGTGCAGCTGTCTGTGTTCAGAGCGTTTTTTTGTCTGCGTTTTTTCCTCGCTCTCCCGCTGCTCTCGAGTCCCTCCTCTCGGTGAAATATAATCGGATCCGTCACTTTGTGATATAATATTT